GAGATGTGAAGACAGTGAAATACAATTCTCTAGTAAGTAATGATCTTTGATAATGCTTCATATTACATAGAACTATAATACTAACTTTGAAATAGAACTTGCATACATTGATTGCAACTGAAAATCAGGCAAAACTACAGACTTGTAAAACTGAATTTGACTGCTATCTTCAAGATGATCTGATGAATTTACACACTAAATCAATTCTAGAGTTATAAAAAATTGTTGAGAGTATATATTCAACTGTTGCACTGATGATATGTGATATTCTGATAATTTCATTGACAGAGATGAGAATGAAGTGAAAGTTCAACTCAAGTTGAGATATTTATCACTATTATCAGAGACAATTACAAGAAGAAATAATCAAGAAACTCATGATTATAAAACATGGAATTATCAGACAGTTTAATATCTCTGATCACAGTATATCAGAGAAGTGTAGTTTTCATGAGAAAGTGAAGAATAAACTTATACAAGAATATATTTAGTTGTTTCATGAGTATTATCAATAATCATTATCAAATTCTGATTATATAAGCAATCACTGAATGAACTGAATAAGACTGATTTTAATCTTCAGTCTCAGTCTCATTCTGATTTTGAAAGAATGATCATCTTTCACAGTTTATTCTGAAAAATTACTCTCATTTCACTGTTCTTGAATTAAATCTGATCATTTTTCACGCCATTTCTCTCAGAAATGGTCCATTTTCAGATTTTTTTGAGGCTTGATCCTGATGGGACTCACGCCAAGAAATGTATGAGACCAGATTAAATGAGATCAAATGTGAAATTCATGGTCCCAGCAGCCAGTCTACTAGAGAGTGAAAGAGAATATCAGATTAAAGAAATTATTAACTTAGAGAAGTAAGATTGTGAGCTCTGATTCAAGGTTCAGTGATAAGAATATTCTAATAAGATGAATAAGTTTACTTAAGAATTATCTGAGTAGATAAGACATCTGTGAAAGCTGAGACATGACTTTTATACTGTGAATTCTGATAAGTCAGAATGATGCAGTCTTTACTAAGAATCTAATTATAATAAAGATATTAACACTATTATTTACAAACTCTAGTCTATAAAATAATAAGTTTCTACTGAGATAAACAGTCTGCAGTAGACTGACTGTGTGACCGTGTCTGAGATCAGAATCAGATTTTTTGATAGTTTTATTATCAATTTGACTGATCTCATTACACAGTTTTAACATTAGATAGTAGTTTCATACTGTCTCAGTGAGACTTACTGTCTACTCTTATCACATTTTTCAAATGAGATCATGATTTTCACTTCTCAATTTAAATTATTTTTATTGCTTTAAATGACTTTAAATCTCATTTGAGCATTATCAAAAAGTGTTACTTTTTAAAAAATTAAAAATAGTCTAAAAAAAACCTTAAAATGTCTAAAAATAGTAACTTTATGCCAAGAATGAGACTAAATGAGACCAAATGAGATGACTTTCTCATTTTTTTCAAGTCATGATTTCATTTTAAGATCTGATATATAGTCACTTTACATGTTTTTTTAATAGCTAGTCCCAGCGGGATTCACGCCAAGAAATGTATGAGATCAGATCAAATGAAACCAAATGTGAAATTCATGGTTCCGGCGGCCAGTCTAGTCTGCAGTGTATACAAAGAGAAGAAGAAATCATACTCTTATTAAAGTTACAAAATAAAGAAAATAAAAACAGAGCTGTGAACACAATTTAGAGATTAATAAAGAAAAAACAAAGAAAACTTACACTTATATTCTTAATATCTGTGATACTCAATCTCTTTATAACTATCAATTTCTCTTTTCAAAGAAGCAGAGAGTATCATGTCTGCAGTATAGATAATTATTACATTTGATATAAAAATTATCAGAAATACACAGACTTCAGAAGAGTTAAACATCAGAGTATATATAGTTATAGCAGAGTCTTCAGAACTGACTATCTATATATGTGATTAGATACTTCTTATAAAGCTGTGTCTGCTCTCTCAGTTGTACTGAAGTATTCAGCTCAGAAATAATTAAAATATAAAGAGAGAGCTTATATATTCAGATTAACTTCTATCATGAATTCATGATATTTATATTATCTTAATTATCTGAATTTTATAGATATCTGAGAACTTATCTCTTATTAACTATGAAATTACAGAAATGCACTGCAGTGTAAGAACTGTTAATAGAGAATCTAGATATATTTGTATATATCTGATCAGAGATTATATAAGTAGAAGAGAAATAATTATAGATCTGCAGAGCTGTAGAAGATACTGATAATACTGAAAGCTTTACAAGAACTGTCAGCTAGAATCTGTAAGAAATTACTTATGAAAAGACTTACAGTAAAGAGCAGAACTACACTACTTAGAGTTAGAGACTGATCTGAAGAAGATATGAAGTTAACTACTGATCTGAAGATTGAGTACAGTAATAAGACTGAGAGAAGTAAAGACACTGTTATAAGCAGTGATATTTCTACTTTATTAGCTGATAAAAAGTGATTAGAGAAGTTATAAAGACACTTATAAGAAGCTTAGCAGTAGTCAGATATTATTTACAAAGATATTGAAATTGAAAAATTTTTTATTCTTGAGAAGTTCTTGAATTAATATACAGATATTATCAGAAACACTCTCTCTCTACTGTCTGAGTGAAAACACTTTACAGATGAATAAGAATACTCACAGTTTATAAGAATGAAAGCTGTTATAGAAAAAGAGAAAAGAAGATGAAGTTTTATAAACAGATCTGAGATATTTATACTACTCTAGAGACATTTACTTACACTGTAAGTAATTCTACAGAATAGTCAGATTATTCTAGTAAATAAAAAGTGATTATAAATTGCAGATCTGAATCTTTCTATAGATCTATAAAGAGTTATTATTATTATTATTCTTTTATTATACTTATATACAAGCCGATCTTATGATAAGTTCTTGCATGATGTTAAATACAGATTAAGTATTGATTATACAGAAGAAAATATAGATATTGAGATTATATCAAGATAATAAGAATATAGAAAAATACAAAGAAGTGATAATTAGATATATATAATAATAACTTCTCAGCTCAGAAACATAGAGTGATTTATTAAAGTAATTTATACATCTCTGTATTTATTAGAAATCTGAGATGCTTGAGTTTCAGATTTAATATATTCTCTGCGGGTTTTGAACTCACATGTCTTAGTTTCTCATGCCAAGGCGCTATCAGATGGCCGCATTAACCATTCAGTCACTGAGGCAACTATAAAGAGTAATTATAAACTATGAACATCTTAATTCTATAATTCTACAGAGTTAATAAAAGAATGAGAAATTTCTCATAATTCTACAGTGTCAAAGAACAATAATTCATAAGAATGAGTAAAAGATCAACTTATAAATACTTCTCTTTAATAAGAATAATCTTATAGAGAGTGATTCATCTATGAGATAAATCTATGTAATAATTACATAAGAATCTTATGAAAATAATTAAGAGTCAACTGAAACTCTTCTATATAAAAGATATAAGATGAATCTGTGTAATAGTTAGAGAAGAATTTATAAATTATAAAGAATTTTATAGAATAAAAAACTGAGTAATAAACTCTTTTTTCTTCATAGTAATAAGAGATTTTTTCTCACTGAGATTTTTTTATACAGATAAAAAGAGTTTTTAGTGAGTATTACTGCAGTGCTGAGCTGATTTTATAAAGTCACTTAGTAAAAGACTTCACAGATAAAGTCTTAGAGAGAGAGAAATATATAAGAAATTCTGCTTCTTATGAATTCTTTATCTCTATTTTTATCTCTTATAGCCTCAGTGGCTGAATGATTAATGCAGCCACCTGGTAGCATCTTGGCGTAGGAAATCAAGGCACGTGAGTTTGAAACCCGCAGGGGATACATTAAATCTGGAACTCAAGCACCTCAGGTTTCTAATAAATACAGAGGTGTACAAATTGCTTCAATGAATCACTCTTTGTTCCTGGGCTGAGAAGTTATTATTGCATGTATCTAATTGTCACTTCTTTGTATTTTCCTATGTTCTTGTTATCTTGGCATGGTCTCAACACCTGTATTTCCTCCTGTATAACTAACACTTGACCTGTATTTAACATCACACAAGGACTCATCATAAGCTTCGCTTGCATATGAGTATAATGAAAGAATAATAATAATAATAATAATCTATCTCTTATATAATTAATAGAGTTAGCAGCTCTTGACTATATATAACTATATAGACTGAAGTTCATGAATACTATTTATAACTCAGCTTGAATACTATTATATATTTAATTTCTACATTTTATCTTTCTATTGTGAATACTTCTAGTAGTTAACAGTACATATCATGTCAAGCTGTAAACACCTGAATAATCGCCTGTAAGTACTTATTCTTACATAAACTTATAGATCATTATTAAGTAAATAGATATCAGATTATTAAATTCTCTTACAGATAGATATAAGTAGATAAAGTTCTCACTATTAAGAATGTCAATTGCAAGATTATAATCTGTAGAGCAGATGAGATGAAAAAGATGTTTAATAAAAATCTTCAGTTAATTGAAATTAAATCTATAAAATCTACAGTCACTTAATTATAATAAGATAATTCTATAGAATCTCAATCTACAGTGAATTCTATACCTTCTAATGAGTATATAGATAATCTTTATGTTATAGATAGATGTGATGATGATTATTAATTAATTTTTGAAGATCATTATATTCAAAATATTTTCTGTACAGTGCGGTTTTCTGTACACTGTGACGCACTCACTAGAGAGAGTGAGTAAGCATGGCACGGTTAACCCTATACATTGTACAAGTTAAATTACTCTAAGACGGCAATGAGAATTTGATTTCGCAGCTGCTACTATGTATGTATGAAGAACCTCTTCAGTTATTATTACTTTTCCTGCTCTTGGTTCGTATATCCAGCTTGGAAAATCATCCATAGGGTTTGAAAAATCACATGACTGGTCAACGTTAGGTAGAATGACAAGGAAGTTTTTCTTGTTTTGTTCATTTGTATTCTGATTGATAAAGCAACGATGAAGGAGATCGGACTCCTTTTCAGACATCCCGCAAGGTCCAACATGACCGCTGCTCGCTCCTGAGTTTACTTAACCAGGATTGAATCCTCTCTCGGAGGCCTAAGTTCGTTCGAGTGGGAAGGCTGCCGCTCTGTCAGTCTCCGTTACACCAGAGTCCTCAATTATTGGATTAAGTTACATGTATTAATTTTCTTGAACATGATCATTAACAAGAGGTAGTAGAAGCTGGGAGACATAGCAATTAATTCTAGGTACTGAAAGCGCTTTCACTAAAGATACAAAAAACAAGGATACAAAAAGCTGAAGATACAAAAGACCAACCAAGGAGACAAAACAATCGAGAATGCACAAAACCAACGCTACCCTCACAGCTTCCCCGAAACCCCGGGCACAATATTTTCCAGAATTGCTTTCAACTCCTCCCACACTTTTTTCCCCGCAATTTTCCCGTCTTCACTCTTAACGAATGCTGATAGGTGCCTATTGCTCACCTTCCCATCCACCATGTATGTACCATGGCTTTCGTCTCCCTCAGCCGCAGCAGCCACCAGAGTCCGACTACCAACCTCAGTCGTGCGCACCATTATGTGCGTTAGCATTGTCTTGATAACTAACACAAGCCAATGAAATTCACGCATCAGCCCCGATTGACAAAATCCGGGGTTTATCAAGTTGAGGATGACCCCTGAATCAGCAAGTTTCGGTGCGATTTCACGCACTACAAGAATCTCCAGCAGTTTTGATACCTCGTATCGTTCTTTCATGTTGAGTGTCTTCGTATCGTCCAGTTTTTCAAACGTATTCGGGCTTTTCCATTCTGGAAATTCTGCTTGCGCATGAACCTCGCTCGTCACTATGCACCAGCGGGGTTTCATGGGGGATGTCTGCGTCGCGGACTCTTTGAGCTTCGGAAGGAGGAGTAGGCCTAATAGGAAAGTGCCGATCACGTTGATGGTAATAGTGCGCTCGTGGCCTTCTGCAGTGTCGTAGTTATGAGTTGCTATACCTGCATTTTCAAGCAGAACATCGATACGGGGCAATTCTGTCGATGCTCGTTGTGCAAATGCTTTGATCGAGGCGTAGGATGCAAGGTCAAGTTCCCAGACTTCGCATATGTTGGCTCTACCGGATGACGTCTCGATCAACTCTTTGGCTTTCTCTCCTGCAGCGACATTGCGGACAGCAATGATTATCTTTTTCGCATTGAGGCGGGCGAAGTGTCGTGCTGCTTCGAGCCCGAGCCCGGTATTAGAACCAGTGATGACAATGGTCTGGTTGGCGAAAGATGCGGTTGGATATTTCGGAGTGACAAAAAGTTGGGAGTACAAAAAGGCCGCCATGAACCCCATGGTGAGCTAGACGTGGTGTTCGATTGAGGTTTGAGCTTGAGGTGGTAAATGATAGAGGTTGAGGTTGAGTTTGAGTTTATCGCTTTCTTTAGAGGGTCTTTTTTTTAATATAATGAAGCTATTCATGGGTATTTATATATCTTACGAATGGGTTTAAGCTAGCTGGGAGATCTAAGTATTATCGACAACATCGAATAGTTGGGGGATTCAATGGTGTTGTCGGCTCATTCAAACCATCCGATGTTTCGCTCTTTGGAGTTGACTAGATAATAAGCAGCCACAAGCGCATGACAGCCTTACTAAAACTTACCACTTGGGTTAGGCGGTAGACCAAGACGAAATCTTTACATGCGGCGTTTAAAATGTGTTAATCACTAATGCCGGGGGAGAACAGGGAGCCTGACGGAGATAAGCCCTTGCAAGTGCCGAGGGAACGGCGAAGACATCATTGATGACGGAGACGATGGTTTCATACCAGATCCCCAGAGACGGCGGTCAATGCTAAGCCTTGGTAAGAACTCCAGTCATAACAGTCTTCCTGCTGCTGGAGGAGGAATTCTCGGAAAGTGGTGATGGAGGCCCTGACTACAATGCCGTCGCTGTTGAGAAGAGCGAATGACTCAGAAGTCCCAAAGACAAAAGTTCAAAGTTCTAGAATGAAACAACCCTGGGTGCCCAAAATAGCCGCTGTCAACCCACCGATTGCAGCGCTATCACGACTGGGTTGATGTCAAACTGTCGCATATAGCAGCCATACTCTTTGCGCACAGTTTCCTGATTCCACGCCTATGGTGCTCTGGGATTATATGGGGGAAGAAAATATTTGATATGGTGGCAGACGATTTGATGAGGGAAAGTGGGTATAGTACGCACCATGGGGCCACGGTTTCAAGGAACGTGGCCGTGGCTACCAACGCCCGCTTACACCCAACACCCGCCATTTCGCCATCACTATGATGAAATATTTTCATCAATATCTCAACAATGCAATTAGATTTTAAGGTGATATATTATATGATGAAATATATATAGAAAATTACACATAAAAATATACAGCTGATTCTGTAAATGTTTACTTAACTTAATAACTCACTCAGAATATAAAATCTTGAATGAAAGTAAATTTAGTAAATAAGTAGTTATTAAATCAGTAAAAATTGTAATATTATCAGATTTCTCTAACAGTGAATTTATAAGCACTTTAACAGAGCTCTGAAAGTATAATTTAATCAATTTTTATAAAATTAAAAGTCTACTTTTCTGATTAAAAAGATGATTTTTGAATTTTTGAATTTTTTTTTTATTCAACTGTAATTACTGTTATATAGCAGTTTATTCTTTCTTTTCTTTTATTCTTTCTTTTCTTTTATTCTTAAGTTTTTCTTACATTTTTAAGCTCTTTTTCAATTTGTTATTAAGTAGCTCTTATAGTTTTATTTATATCTTTTTACTGTTTTACTATTTAATAAGCTGTTTTTTACTTTATTTTCTTCTTTACAATAGGATTTTTATTTACATTGCAGAATGAGTATTCTATTAAATTAAATCTATTATTAAATCTTTATATATAAGATTTGAAATAATTATGTTCTAGTTTCAGCTGAATTATAGATGAGAATATTTTATTTTTTATTATTATTATTATTCTTTCATTATACTTATATACAAGCGAAGCTTATGATGAGTTCTTGCATGATGTTAAATACAGGTTAAGTGTTAATTATACAGAAGGAAATACAGTTGTTGAGATTATATCAAGATAACAAGAATATAGAAAAATACAAAGAAGTGACAATTAAATACATATAATAATAACTTCTCAGCTCAGAAACATAGAGCAATTCATTGAAGTGATTTGTACATCTCTGTATTTATTAGAAACCTGAGGTGCTTGAGTTCTGAATTTAATGTATTCCCTGTGGGTTTCAAACTCACGCGCCTTGGTTTTCTATGTCAAGGTGCTATCAGGTGGCCGCATTAATCATTCAGTCACTGAGGTGATGAGAATATTTTCTTTTTATATTTAATTAAACAAGATTTCTACTTGAGTTTTATTTCAAATCTTGAATAATGTATACTCTTCTTTTATTTCTGCCAGCTTTTATTTTACTTATCTAAACAAGATTCTTTTATCTTTCTCTTAATAAAAGATCAGAACACTATTTTTTGAATAAATCTACTTAATTCTGAACTCTTTTTTACAGCTGAATTAGTCAATTCATTATCATGAATATTCATATAAGCAGGAACTTAGTGCAGATAAATTATTAATTTTAATATTCTTCTCTTTTGAATTTTCAAAACAGACTTTAAAATCAGTTTAAGATTTATTTGATTATTATAAATCTGACTATTTCTAAGTCTTTTTAAAGCAGCTTAACTATTAGAGAATATTTATATCTCTTTTAAACTATTTTTTCTTTTATAAGATTTTATTTCAATGAGTTTGAAAGCTTTTACTATTATAAATAGTTCAGTATCAAAGACTTCAGATTCACAGTCTAAATTTCAGAAATCTGAGATAAAATTAATATTATCTTCAGTATAAGCTAGACTGACTGTGTGACCGTGTCTGAAACCAGAATCAGAATATTTGATGATCTTATTATCAATTCAACTGATTCTATTACACTGTTTTAACATCAGATAGTAGTCTCATACTGTCTCAGTGAGACTTACTGTCTACTCTTGTCACATTTTTCAAATGAGATCATGATTTTCACTTCTCAATTTAAATTATTTTTATTGCTTTAAATGACTTTAATTTAAGCATTATCAAAAAGCATTACTTTTTGAAAAATTAAAAATAATCTAAAAAAAACCTTAAAATGTCTTAAAATAGTAACTTTATGCCAAGAATGAAACTAAATGAAATCAAATGAGATCACTTTCTCATTTTTTTCAAGTCATAGTTTCATTTTAAAATCTGATATATAGTCACTTTGCATGTTTTTTTAATAATTAGTCCTAGCAGAATTCACGTCAAGAAATGTATGAGATCAGATCAAATGAAACCAAACATGAAATTCATAATCTCAGTGATTAGTCTAGTATAAGCAATGTCTGCATCTAATCTGTTCAGATTCTCATTTTTTAAGTCATCTGAGTAAATCAGAATAGAGTCTTTTATATTAATTATAGAGATCTTCTTTAAATACTGTTTATATTCTCTCTCTTTAGATAGTTCACTTATTTATAAGTCTATGAGAGATTCAGACTTTTCTCTTCAGAGAGATATCTTCTTATAATCAACTTTCTCAACATTTAATAAAGAAAATTGATTTTTAATTAGTGAATATAGTCTATATAGTTGAGAGAGCATTTTCTTTGAAGAATTATTTTCATTTCAATCAAGAAATCTATTTCAATTCAGTTCACTTTCTGAGTTAATTGATGAGAATGAAGAAGAGACTTTTTCTCTAATTATATAATTTAAGCTCATCTGTATAACTCTCAGAGTATAATTTATACAGATCTTTTCATATCTAATAATAGAAAAGAGAATTGAAGCTTCAATTTTCATTGCTTTAATAGAAGATGATTTGAATACTCTCTGAATTCTTCTTAAAGCTCTGTTTTACAGACTTTGAAATAGTTCAGTGAAATTTTCTTAACTATTTTATTAAACTTGAACTTCATAATCAGCTACTGAGATGATACAGACTATGTATAACTGTCTCATAGTCTGGAAGAATAGATCTCTCTCTGTATTTAATAGTCTGATTATACTATTTCATAGTCTTTCTGTCTTGATAGTTCTTTGTTGAACATAATATTTAAAATTCAACTTCAAGTTTAATCATACTTCTAATCATTTAACATTCAAACTGGGTTTAATATCTTTATTCAAAAGAGTTAGACATAGTTTTTTCTCATTGAATTTAGAAAAGAAATGAATTAACTCAGTTTTATTTATATTAAATTAAATTTGATTGATATCTACTCTAATAAAGATTTTTCTTACTGCTTTTTCAATTACTTCTAAATTCTCTTTGATTATTTTTGAACTGTAGACTAGATCAATATTATTTATATAGCTTAAAAATCTTACTATTTTCATATCTCTATTCTTGAATAGATATACAGTGTATATTACAAATAAAATGAGTCAGATTGATGATTCTTACAGTACTTCTATTTTTATCTCAGTCTTATCTTATTTTATCTCATCAAAGAATAGTTATATGATTTGTTTAGATATAAAACAGTTAACTTATTTTATTAAAGAAAGTGACAGTTTTAATATCTTCAAAGTCTGAATTATTTTTGACTTTAAAACATGATTAAATGTATCTTTTATATCAATAAAAACTGCAGTTGAGATCAGATCTTTATACTTTACTATTTAAATATTATAAACAACTGAGAGAATAGTGTTAATTGTAAAGCATTGTTTTCTATCTCTCATTTATTCAGTAAATAGAAGAGAATTATTAATAAAGCTTATAAAAGATAGTTTAGTAGCTATTATCTTTTCTAAAACCTTTTCTAGACAGTTCAATAGAGATATTACTCTATATGACTTAGAAATTAAAGCTTATCTATTAAGTTTTATAAGAATCACTTCAGTGACTTCTCTTCAGCATTCAGAATAATAATCATTTTTCAAGAGATTGAAAAAGAGCTTAAAATATTCATTTCTTAAGTAGAAATAGACTGGCCGCCGGAATTATGAATTTCATGTTTGATTTCATTTGATCTGATCTCATACATTTCTTGACATGAATCCCACTAGGACTAGTCATTAAAAAAACATGCAAAGTGACTATATATGAGATCTTAAAATGAAATAATGACTTGAAAAAAATGAGAAAGTGATCTCATTTGATTTCATTTAGTCTCATTCTTAGCATAAAGTTACTATTTTTAGACATTTTAAGGTTTTCTTTAGACTATTTTTAATTTTTTAAAAAGTAATGCTTTTTGATAACACTTAAATGAGATTTAAAGTCATTTAAAGTAATAAAAATAATTTAAATTGAGAAGTGAAAATTATGATCTCATTTGAAAAATATGATAAGAGTAGACAGTAAGTCTCACTGAGACAGTATGAAACTACTATCTAATGTTAAAACTGTGTAATGAGATCAGTTGAATTGATAATGAGACTATTAAAAAATCTGATTCTAGTTCCAGACACGGTCACATGTAGACTGGCCGCTGAGACTATGAATTTCATATTTGATTTCATTTGATCTGGTTTCATACATTTCTTGGCGTGAATCCCACTGGGACTGGCTATCAAAAAAACATGTAAAGTGACTATATATCAGATCTTAAAATGAAACCATGACTTGAAAAAAATGAGAAAGTGGTTTCATTTGGTCCTATTTAGTCCCATTCTTGATATAAAGTTACTATTTTTAGACATTTTAAGGTTTTTTTTAGACTATTTTTAATTTTTTAAAAAGTAATGCTTTTTGGTAACACTTAAATGAGATTTAAAGTCATTTAAAGCAATAAAAATAATTTAAATTGAGAAGTGGAAATCATGGTCTCATTTGAAAAATGTAACAAGAGTAGATAGTAAGTCTCACTGAGACAGTATGAAACTACTATCTAATATTAAAACCGTGTAATGGGATCAGTCAAATTGATAATGAGACTATCAAAAAATCTGGTCCTGGTCTCAGACACGGTCACACGGTCAGTCTAGTCACACGGTCAGTCTAAGTAGAAATATGTATTTGAAATGATTAAGTGATTCATTGAATCAGGCTCTGCAGTAGTTTTAATTGAACTTAAGAAGATAGCTGACTCTAATTCATCTTGTATAAGCTCAGATCATTCTGAGATATTTTCATCAATATAGTTATAAAGTGATATATTCTCT